AATAGTAAATGTTCAAAATTCAATCTCCTATTTCATAGAACTAGAAAAAGTAATAAAAACATAATTAAATCGAATTTATATTTTCACTTTATTCATTTCGATGAATTAAAGTGAATTTATTAAAATTAAAATAATAAGTAACACACATATTAATGACGAAACGAAACATAAAATGTGACGAATCTGTCTCTAAAATGTATGTGACAATTTCTTACTGGATATACATACTGACGGTTTAATGCCAAAACTTAAAATGTGACGGGTTTGTGACCGAAATGTATGTGACGGCAGGGGCGTACCCACCCTTGTGGTTGGGGTGGCCCCCGCCCCCCCAAGATTTTATTTTTAAGCTGTTTTTTTTTTTTTTTTTTTAGGTATTTATGTATTAGTTAATGCACTTTCGCCCCCTCCCCCCCAAACTTTTCATTTTGTACACTTTAGTCCTAAAAACAAAAAAAAAATTATTTCTTAACTTACCCCTATATTTCAGCCCCCCCAAGAAAACCCCTCTGGGTCCGCCCCTGTGTGACGGGTTTGTGACCGAAATGTATGTGACGGGTTTGTGAGCGAAATGTATGTGACGGATTTGTGACGGGCAGGATATTGTGACAGGTTTGTGACCGACATTAATCAAATTGTTACAATTCATGTAAAGTTTGTGGCTAATTTGTGACAGAATCAATTTCCGTCAAAACATTTGTGACCGAAATGTGATAGAGTTTCGACTGTCACAAAATCTCTCAATTCGTCACATATTGGTCACTAAAAATTTCTAAATTGCAGTAGTACATTCGGTCACATATTCGTCACTCATTCGGTCACTACTGGTGACGGATTTAGTCTATAACAAAATATTCGTCACAAAAGCCCAGTTTACTGCTGTTACATATAGTCATTTTGAGTGCATAATATATATATATATATATACTAACATGTTATTATTAAAAAATATAAAAAAAAATTCAGCAAAAATGATGATACAAAAATGCTAAATGCAGTTGGGCGAAAATTGTATATAAGCGCACAATAGTACTTTTACCTCTTGAGGGGTATGTTAAAGAATTTTCTCAACTTGAGTTTATCCTTATATTATTTGCCACTTGGGGTATACACCCATATAACTAATAACAATTACGTTTTTATCTCATTCTCTCATTTCTCTTTTTTTCCATCTTTTTTCTTTCACCGCTCCAAAACTCACTCTCTCTCTCTCCTTTTGATGTCTATCATTTTTACAGCCCCAAATTATTCCCTTCTCTTTGTTTCTTTATTTTTCTCTCTTTTAGTAGATCTGAGTTTTTCAAATTTTGCAGCGGAGAACGACGGATCTGCAACTGGCAGAGGTTGCTCATCTCGAAGCGCTTGTGCTATGCCGTTGTTGACCCAACTCACCTTGGGCAGGGGAAATGGAGATTGCATTTATAATTTGTGAGTGTGGTGTCAGGGTTCGTCGGGGAAGGATTGACGAGGGGTTTTGACAGCGATGGTCTGCTCGTTGCACGTTTCAGACGGCGGCTAGGGCTAGTTGAGGTGAATTGTATTCATGGTATGCGAGGATGGCTCGAAGGTAGCTTGTCCCCATTTGCTGGCGGCGGTAGCTCCAAAAAAGCAAATCTAGAATTTTCAGAATGACTAGAATTGTCCACGGAAGTCTGACGGCATTGTGAATCAAGTAAGTTGGTGCTAGGGTTCAAAAGGGCGGATCTAGGGTTTCAGAATGATTATAGTTTTCTAAAGATTACTACAAGTGACTATTGGTGACTATAAATGATATATATTCATAGTGTGTGGTGAAATTGGATTCGGGACTAAGATGACTACAAATGACTATATTGTATCATGGGTGACTACAATTGACCTCATAATCTTCATTTATCGACAACAATTAATTGAATTAAAAATATATAGATGAAATTAAAAAAATAAAAAATAATTTTTTTTTAAGTAATTATCAATCTTGTGTTTTTTTTTTATCGGAGAAAGAAGATTATATTAAACAAGCACAAGATGTGCGATTGTACAATATACACTCCCATACTTTCCAGATCACATATTACATGGGGTTAGCTTCATTAAGACTTTTCAGGGATATTAGCAAACTTTAAACATTTCTAGTGGGGCGATTAACCAACCTAAAATGGCGTACGAGAATGAATGTAGTTGCAATTCTTTTAACCATTTTAAGTAACTATCAATCTTATGTAAGACATATACAAAATTAAGATTTTTGTTATAGTACAAAAAATTGCAAAACGGTTCACAGTCAATAACATCTTCGCCATCGAGAGTAATGATTAGTCGAAAGAACACAATGTAATCATGATTCGACATAGAAGTATGTTGATTTTTCCCCAATAACCGAATACTTTTGTCTATAAATACTGTATTTTTTATTCCATCCATAAATCGATTTTCTTCCCTATGAGTTCTAGTTTAAATAAGAATGCTAGTTCTTACTGTTCATATATTATGATATGAATATACCATACCAATTCGTTATGTATGGATGATGAGATTTCATTGATACAGAGCCAATTCAATACACTTATTGGAAGGTTCCATTGGCGTGCATCCAGTAGGAATTGAACCTACGAATTCGCCAATTATGAGTTGGGCGCTTTAACCATTCATCGCAATTATTGCAATTTCTCAAGATATCATTTTTTTTACTTTTAGGGTCTATTTCTTAGTTCAAGATCCTTCTTACTAACTGGAATCAAAGAATTTGTAGATTTGTTCCGACCAAAAGGGGAATGGGCTAGGATTATGAACTTATAATCCGATGATCGAGTCGATTCCATGATTATAAGTTCATCCTATACCGCACCAAGCCGGAATAGGGTTATATACATTCTCAAGGGGTAAGGCGAGTGTATCTAAATAGATACTATGTTTATATATGGATCCCTACGTCGTTCCATTCCATTTAGGATTAGGAATAGGCGTAATCGGACCTCCTTTTTACATATCTCTCGTTATTTTTGGGACCCTATTTACCTCTTTGAGCTTCTATTGAATCGAGTGAATCAAGAAATAAAATATGTTTGATTGGCCATCTTTTTGATGCCATTCGTTTGATGAGAAATAAAAAGGAATATCGAAAATTCGAGTGGCTGAAGCTGAAACATCTACTTTCAAAGTAACAGAAAGAAAGCAACGTTACAGTAAGACCGGCTGAAACACGTATGGGTTTGGGTAAAAGATCCCCTGAATATTAGGTAGTTGTTGTTAAAGCGGGACGAATACTATATGAAATGGATGGAGTCACCAAAAATATAGCTAGAAGGAATATTTTAATAGCAGCATCTAAAATGCCTATACTAACTCAATTTATTTTTTCGGGATGAAAATCTAGAACCAACTTTTTTTTAAATCCACCGAAAAATGATGAATGCATTAGCAAAATTCTAAATCCATATAAGAAATTAGTAAGGCAAAAAATTTGAATTTTGTGCAAGAATGACAGTTTTTTGAATGAATTTTATAAAGAATTTGTAGCAAAGCTTTAGATGTGCTTTTTATTTAATTCTAATAAGTTTTGCCATCATAAATGTACATCTTAAACCTTTACTTTCACCAAAGAAATAACTCTATGCACAAAAATAAAAATATAAGGAACTCAAAGCTAAGGTTTTGCCGTTCGAGCATCTCCAACTGGTCTCCATATCGCCATATTTTCACCTAATTATATGTTTTTAGCCTTCCCACCTTAAAACTCTATATCACCATTACATCTAAAAATTATGGAGATTAGTTGTAGCCTCCATGGTTGTCACATCCATATATCATCATATACCCAAATTCTATTCTTCTATCATATGTTTTGGTGAAGGTATTTTCATATCCCACTCTTCCACCATTTTCTTATTATTTTTCCACCAAATCCTATTTTGTCTATCAAATGTAGAGGTGGAAATATGATTAGGTGTAATTAACACCATTTTATTCATTAGCACGTAAATGATAATTTTTACAAATTACACGTGATTACCGACTTATTAGCATATTATCCTAAATGCATCGGTGTTAATTAATAAAATAATATTTAAAATATTAATAATTTTTTTATTATTAAGAAAAAAATTAATTTAATAAATATAAATATGTTTATTTTATTAATTTATATATTTTTTTTAATTAATGTTGATTAATTCATTTTTTATTTAACTAATACACTAATTGCTATGAAAAAAATATAATAAGCAACAATAAAATGATTAAGGAAACACACTTTAATTGATAAAATATAGGAAGAGACCTTAAATTTGAAATACAATAGCTCACAAAACCACAAACAACATAACATGACAAATTAAAACATAATAAACTACAAGACAAATTATATAAATTGAAATTCTCATAAACATGAATCGTATCGCAAAGATGTGGAACGAACATCTGGCATTCTTCAAGATCGATTTGTAATTATTAGAGGAGCGGCTAAATTCTGGAAGAAAGAATACTTGCATGAAGTCATATTTGCATGCATTATTATGCACCATATAGTTGAGGAAGAACACAGTGAATATATCAAAACGTTTATAGTTATTCTGATTCTCAATCTTCCACCAACCTTGACTATGAAAGTTCGTCATCTATCCCGCCTACTGAACTTTTTGAGAGATTTTAATAATACAGCAAATATTAGTTTTCTTGACCGACATCGAAATCTGATAAGTCAAAGATGGGGGTTGGGGGCCGGGCGGTAAATTTTTATTTTGTTATTAAAGTTTCATTCGTCGAACTAAAACTCAGTCCTATATTTTTGAAGTTCCTTATTATAAAAACTACTAACTAAAAGAAAATTTCTTCGTTGTACTATATAGTTTGTCAAAATATTGCTTCTCCATAAAAGAACACATAAAAAGAAAAAAAATTATACCCAACACTTAATTTATTCCTTTAAAGTATAACAATAACAAGTCATACACACACATATTTATGTGTTAAGACAATGCCAACAAATAATAATTCTATCAAGGGACAAAAAATTAGACATATCAAACATTATTGTATGCACATTCAGTCTTTCTTGTAGCCGATTGTGCACAATAGTCGTAAGTCATATAATGTTTCCTGTAGTAAGCCATCTTTTGTTTTTGTTCGGGGTTAAGTTCCTTGTATCTATTCCAGAAGAACTTCTCAGAAGCACATGCTGCCATATTGTTACCCGGGCAACCGTAGAATCCAAAATCCGTATAATAGGTGTAGAAAGGGGATTTACTCCAATCGACCTTTCCGGCAAATTGTGCGTTCCATATGCTAGCTTCAATGTGCATCGGCTGATTGGGATACAATACCCCCGGAACGTTGTTCTTGAACACTCTTATAGGAATGTTATCCACATAAAATCTACATAATTTCGATTGGATTATGTTTCAATTACTATAAAAAATAAAGTTAATTTAAGAAAAAAAAATCCTCCAAAATGTTATATAGTCGAAATTGAATTAAATTGAGAGATTAATTCTTACACTATATTGGAAGGGTTCCATAGAATTTTGTAAATGTGATAATCTGCTGACGGATCAAACCAAAGCTTGAATTTCTGTTCTCTACCTCCGGTATCATTATTATAAACATTGGTTTGCAATCTTCCAGTTGATCCCAAAAACTCGAAATCAACTTCAAAATGAGGTTTGCTCGCATCCCCACCAATCGGGAGTCCCATTAACTGCACGTGATTACAAATAAACACACTTAAATGTATGTAATTTTGTAATAGAATTTTCATTTATAATATAAGTAGCTAAAGAAAAATAATATATTACGTAGAAATTTGGAACAATTCCTCCGGATTTGTTCCTTGGTATCTTCATTTTGATATGAAATAATCCGGACGCGTAATTTGATTTGGAACTGAATCCAGCACCTACATAAAAAATATGTTAAAAACAAAAGAATGTGTTTTTATTTTCTTCGAACCAGTCAAATCTTGTGTCAACTCAATATATACTTACCTGAGGAATTATCGAATTTAAGTTGGACCTCGGTTCTTTCAGGATTAATCGAGAAGTGATCGCCTCCCCAAAGATAGGAATAGTATGCATCAAAACTATTATCTAATGCTGCATTTGCTTGCAAACAAAAAGCACAAAGAAGAATGGCTAAAATCATGGTAAAAGCCATTATTTCTAGTGTAGAGGAGTGATTGATTCTATATGTTGTGACATTCTTATATAGTACCACAATTGAATTTTATTCTTGTAATTACCATTCTACTTACTATTTTAAAAATGCAATCCTTTGAAATTTAATAACTACTTACTAAACAATAATTAACAACAATGTAATTATGTTATAGTAATTCAAAAGATGGAGTTCTACACTTATTACCGGAATCATCCAAAAATTAAGACAAAAATGAAATAAAAGCTAAGCAATTTGATTAGTTATTTTTTATCAAAAGATGCATTTGATTTTGAAAGTTCTAAATCCATTATAGTAGTTTACCTCTCATAATCGAATCTAATTGTATTTAGCAGTGTTAAATTGCATGTGTGTATTCAACTGTTCATTGATTACCGTTGCATTATTTTGGTTTCTATAAAAAACTTAATCCCTATGACATTTAGTTTCAATAGTCCTTAATCCAAACCAAATTAATGTTAAAATGAATTATTCATGTTCTAAGCATATTAAGAAAGCAAATAAACACGCGATTATACATCAATGATTTTGTTTTTCCCTATGTGTTGATTGTTTACTCAAAACCCCTCAAGTATGCAAATTTGTGATCCCTAATAATTATTAGGGTCTATTAGATATAACCCCCTTAAACATTCAAATAATTGGGGTAGACCCAAACTTAAATTTGCCATTTTGATAAAAACCCAAACTTTTCTAAATTACATAATTACCCTCAATCAAATCCCACAAATCCCGTTACTTTACCTTTTGAAATACTATCAAACCTCTCCCTATTTTCCCGTTAAAACACTATCACCACAAACCCACTATAAAAAAACTGCAAAACCTCCAAAAACCAGAAATTTGCACGGCCGTGGATCGGCGATTTTTCTGCACTCCGACCAAGCCTCCGTAGGTACGTCGTCGCCACTCGCTGAATCGCTATCATCCATCGATTTGTTGATATGTTTTGGCTAAATCGACTATCACGTTTGTGTAATTGGAGATCTGTTATAATCGCATACCGAATTCGAGCACTAAATCAATGATATTGCAACAATTGATGGGCAGGACATCCACCAGAAGTGATATCGTCGTTGGCCGCCGTCGCCGTCGCCATCACTGCTCCAATCTAGGGTTACTCAAATCTAGGATTACTCAAATCTAGGGTTTTGATAATTCTTCGGCCCATAGTTGATTAACGAGATGCATAGTCGAATTACATTTGTATTAATATACTATCCCATATCATTTAATAGACTATCCCACTGGTATAATTTTACTATGGATCTCGTTAATCGACTATGGGCCGAAGAATCATCAAAACCCTAGATTTGAGAAGTGACGGCGGCGGATTTGTGTTTTAAAATTAATAGACTATCTCATATCTTTTAATAGACTATCCCATATCTAATTCGACTATGGGTTTAGTTAATTGACTATTGGAAAAAATAATAATATATATGGAAACTGAATAATATGTTTGTTTGAAATAGTAATCAATTAGGGTAATTTTCCTTATTATATGAAAACGATTAGGGTAAATAATAATATATATGAAAAAATAATAATACATATGGAAACTGAATAATATGTTTGTTTGAAATACTAATCAATTAGGCTAATTTTTCTTATATCATGTAATAGACTATCTTATTGATCTAATTCGACTATGGATCTCGTTAATCGACTATTGATTCCGTATTATTCAACCACATAGTATATTAATAATTTCAATATAGTACATTAATCTGCTATGATAGTATATTACGGTTATAGTAGTGATATGAAATTGTGTTACAAACAATATACCACTGAAATGACAAGAACATTGAGAACAACACCAACGTAAAGTATTCCAACATAACCAATAAAATAGTACATTAATAATCTCATATTTTCAATCTAGGGTTTTGATAAAATACATAAAACACATCATAACACAATCAAACCAATATGTCTAAGTTAAAAAACTCTAGTACATTAATAATCTCATAATAGTATAATAAAATGATAATGGTAGTATCATACGGTATTCATAATAGTATACTACTGTATTACAAGCGGTTTAACACTTAACCGAAGTCCGAGGGCTTTACATCGTAAACACCTC